TAGTTTTGGATTTTGATACAAGGAAAATGAACTTTTTGGAAAAGTCAGGAAAACCTGATTTTTTGTAACTTTTCCAAAAAGGTCTTTTGGGCTGTGAAAAACTAAGTCAAACACCCCCTAAACCTACATCAGTAATCTTTTTATGCATAAAATATGTTTGTCATTATTGAAGTTGATGTAGAGGTAAAATTTAGGTTTAACTTTGAACATATATATTTAGAAAAATATATTAACAAAAAAAAAGGTCATTGTTTCTTAAGAAAATTTTATATATGCAAAAAAGATAGCTAGTTATTTGTTACACTTAATTAGTTAATATATATATATATATATATATATATATATATATATATATATATATATATATATATATATATTATTTATAAGTTTATCATGTCTTGAATTTTTTTCATCCATCCACACATCTGTATGTGATAATTGTTCTTAGGATGAGAAGTTAGAAGACTATGACAAGAGATGGTCCTAATCGAGGGTCATATTCTAATGACAAATCTACATCATTCTATAATAGTATAATATGCGTGTCACAAATGGTCCAGTTTATTTTTGATCAACATGATTAATTTGTTTTATATCCATAAGAAATCATTCATTTCGGATTTTGTTATGACTTTAAATGATTAGGTATTCAGGGTTTTTTCGGTTTTCTAATAACTAAGAATGTTTTGTTGGCAACTAAACGCCCGACTTTCTTAGTATCAATTAATAACTAAATGATGTAGTTTAGTAACAAACAATTTGGTTCTAAGTTTTTCTGGGTTTTTCCCCTAAAATTGAAGATTTAGAAAAAAATCCGAAAATTAACTTTTTCGAATTCACCTCTTATTTTCTTTTCAAATCAAGTCGTTTTTTGGTTAATAACTAAATGATGTAGTTTAGTAACAAACGATTGATTCAAGTCGTTTTTTCTTGGTTTTTTTCCCTTAAAATGAAGATTTGGAAAAATAATCCGAAAATTAACTTTTTCGACTTCTAACTTTGAATATTAGAAAATGGATTATGTTCCTAGGAAACATGTGGGAACTTCCGATGGATTTCCGAGGAAATACATTATTCGTCACAAATTTCTAGGAAATGCATTTGAAGTTCCAAGAGATTTTCTAGAAATCAAATTCGTTTTTTCATTCTTATAGGTTCAAAGGTTTTTTTTTCGTTCCATATTTTGTGGAACATTGTTATACATGAAATACTTTTGTCTTACCAAAATCTGTATTATACACATACATATGTACACATACAATATATAGAATATATAATGATAAACAAATGCTTTGAGTAATGTGTTATGGTGGTGTGCACACGTATGTATGTATATATCATGCATAACTTTGTAAACTAAAACAATTCATATATAATGAAGTTGTACAAAATATTGAACGAAAAAATAAACGTTTCAACCTCGAATTTAAAAAAATGGATTCTGCTCCTAGGAAATCTCTTGGAAAGTGAGGAACTTCCTAAGGTTTTCCTACGCAAGCCAATACTGTCACTATTGTCATGGAAATGCATAGAAAATTCCAAAGGATTTCATAGGATTATAACTTGCTTTTTCTCCCTTCTGGGTATAAACATCATTTTTAGTTCTTTATTTGGTACAATTTTGTTATACATTAAATGTTTTTTTATCTTACCAATATATATATATATATATATATATATATATATATATATATATATATATACACATACAATATATAGAGTTTAGAATGATAAACAAAAGTTTTAACTAGACACGGTTTAATTCGTTTAAGTAACATAAGTGTCAATATAAATTGATCATTTATACGCGAGTTCCTAGGAAATACCGAGAGAATACCGAGGAAAGTGTAATAAGTACAACATTCTTAGGAAAAGTATAGGAACAATTAGTGTATTCTCTACTCAAACTCGATATTATATTTTTTGTTACAAGAAAAAAATTGTTAAAAAAAATATTACTAAGGAAATACCGAGGAAAGTTGGGTATTTATAAAGATCCAAGGAAAAGTGTAGGAACTTCCGAGTTATTTCCGAGGAAAGCACGTTTATGGTTATTCCTAAGTGTTTCCTCGGGAATGTGTAGGTGATACCAAGAAATTCCTTGTCCTCGGAAATATTCGTAGAAAATCCCTCCTTTTTGTCGAAGCCGTTTTTTGTTTACTTTGCATAACCTATAGTATAGACTCACGAAGCTTGTTGATCTTCCTTTTATCAAGATTCCAAATTGCTTATGAGGTTTCAATTCTATGTTATAACATTTATAAATTTTTTTCAATAAACCGAAAGTCAAAAAGTGCTACAATATAGCATTTCACAGATTGAAATAAAAGACATATTTAACTATAAACTGACTGTAAATAAATGGCCCTTTGGTCGTTATTCCACTTTTTTATAGTAAAATTGAACATATAGGTCATGAGATTGCATTTATATAGTATAAAAAAAGGATTGAATTCAATAAGTTGTGTAAGGTTATTTTAATGATTGGATTAGGAAAAAAAAATCATCTCTTACATATATGTTGTCATGTCCAATTTCTCATTGTTTGCATGTTGTTGTTCTCACAACTTCATATTTTATGATCATATAGTGTGATATCGACTTTTATAATAAATACATATAGCAGCAAATCAATGGGTTAAATGCAGTAAATAAAAAAAAAATTATGTTTTATAGAATCTTATTTTTATTTTATTTTTCTCTATAACAACATTGTACCTTAATATTTTGTTTCTTTTACAAAATCTACCCGTTAAAGCATCATAAACTTATTTTTTCAATATGATATTATAATTTCAAAATCCGTGAACTATAGTAATGAAAATTATTTTGCATTTTAATAACAATTCTAAGTTGGGTAGGTTTTCAAAATTTGATGTTATAATAGAAAAAAGTAAACAAGTGTAGTATTATTTCTATAAAACTTTGAGTTTTAAAAAGATCTTTTTATTCTTATAAAATGACTCCTAAAACACCCTATAATCTGTCTGTTTCGGTTTTGATAGCCACGAGTAATAATATTTGGGTTATCTTTCTGAAAGTTATGTAAGATCAGGTAAAAGAGAAAAAGTTGGGAAAATTAGCATTAATTATATAAATGAGTAACTAACTATTAAACTATTCAAAAACAAACTTTGATTGAAAAATGTTATCAAAATGTAAGTCACTATACTTTTATTAAGAAAAACATTCAATTGGTAAATTGAACGGCTAATATTGTAAATGGATAATGAACAATTTACAATAATAAAAAAAACAAAATAGCGACGAGCTTGTTTTTGATTTCGCTCCGGTTCCATTCTATACTTGAAGTAATAATTACTTAGAACAATATAGATTATGTTTGAAAGATCAAATTTGTTAAATTTAAAAGTTCTACAAATTCTTACAAACATGTATACATCACTTATGATAATTAAGCAAAATACGATGGGATGTCGAAGAACGAAATTCACCTACTTCGTTAGGTTTGTATTGGTGGTGGTGACCAGTAATGAGGTGGTGGTAGTGAATGGTGTTTGAAGTGGTAAAGAATATTTTTTGCATGCATATTTAAGTAAGTAGTTAATAACTCTTTTATGATATTAACCTTTCAATTACAAGTTAAACGACCTATAGGATGTGATTATTGTATATTTTGAACTAAATAACAGTAAACTACATTTTAATAACAGTTTTGAGTTTAATTGTGTTTTTTGAACAATTTAAATAGTTTGTTACATGTTTGTAACATTAGCCATGGAGATTATGTTCTAACTAAACATCTTTTTGAAAGAATCAAAAATGATAAATTCTCATATTTGTCAAAATTTAGAAGTTAAAAAAATTATTTTGATCATTTTAACATAAAATAAAATAAATCATGCTTTTTGTTTTTTTTTTTTTCTTGTTATAAAACACAAATGAGATTTGGACATGTTTACTAAATACCCATGAAGGAAATGACCAAGTTAAGAGTAGTAAGATTTGTATTCTCATGCATGAATATAAAACCATTAACATGCTTCCCAAATGAGAACATAAATTCTATGTTCAAAAGATTTAACCTTATTGTGACTAATCTAAAGAGCTTACGAATATTTGCAAAAGATAATACAATGCATTCCATCTGAATGGATTCCCAAATTCACATCTCTAGAAAGAATAAAAGATTTCAACACAAACTTGAAGAGCCTGTTTGGATCTTAAAGGTCTATGATATTTTTGTAAATAAATCATAACAAAATGAGGCATGGCAAGAAGATAAAACGTTAGCTCTCCAAGCTAGTGTTGACAAGGAAAAGAAAAAGAATGATAAGAGTGTTCCCAAATAGAAAGAAGAATCAAAAGAGAATCATGAAGAGATGACAAGAATAAATATGGGTCTTCAAATACAACAAACCTAAAGGCACTTGTCATAAATATGAGAAAATGGAAAATCATGCCAATGATGTCCCAAAAGGAAGAAAGAAAAAGAAGATCAGAAAGCTTTCATTGGATGTGCATGGTCAAGTGAAAGAAAAAAAATTAAGATGATGTCATTTTCCTAATTGAAAGCACGAGGTACCATTTTCCTATCCTAACAATGAATATGAATGTTTGGTGTAAGTAATTTCAAGTTCTAGTGCTATTCAAAAGAACTATGCAACTTTTTCAAAAAGAAGATAGTGACATTGAAAAGAACTTCAATACACATCTATCATCACTCATGTGGCATATTTTTGGCATAATTTATATGGATTTGATTACATTAAATGTCGCATCAAACAAATTATATTTTCAACGCCAAAAATAAGAGCAATTTTCATTTTTATAATGACTTATTTCTCAAAGTATAAAGTACTAGTAAAAATGTTTGAAAGTATAATACTACATATGGGTAGCCTTTTCAATATCCTAACTCGTAATAGGTAAAAACAAAAGCATTTTCCCTAAAATCCAACCTAAATAGATTATGGTAATGCGATCTTTGTTTCTACAATACTTTTTGCAACTCCAAAACAGGAGAAACATAAACAATTAGGAGGAAAAAATTAAGAAAAATTATCTAAAGAAACACAACGTAAACCATGTGTATAACTCAAGGTAAAAAGTAAAACAATCAAACCATAAACGCAACGAATAACAGTAGAAGAAAAAAAAAAACATTGGTTCTTGTGTATTTTGCTTGCATAGCTTTCCTGAAATGATAAAAGATCTCACTGATTCACAACAACTTGGCAAAAATAAAAAAACAAAAACATTGTTTCTTCTAATTCTTTGATGCCTGCATATAGAGAGAAACTGAGTGATCAATTTTTACAAACAGTAAAATGATGTTTAAAAACTTATATTCCACAAAAAAAAAAGATGGAAGTAGAATAAAACTTTAATACCAAAAAAGAAAAGTTATTTTATAGAAAGATTAAAACAAAATTGATAAAAATAGCAGTGGACAATTAATTAATTACCTTAGCCAGCTGGTGGGTCCCAATACTCTTTCATTATCTTAACGCTAGATCTTCAAGCCATATCTAAATAGAAAATAAATAACCAATGATAAAAATGAAAGTAGAATGTTAAATAAAAAAAAACACACACACACACACACAAAATATCACATACCTTCCTTGGTTAAGAAAATAGAGGTAGGAGACCCTGGAGAAGGTGGAGTTTGTTTTAACAAACTTCCATGGCGTCCAGCTTTAGCAACAGAATCTCCATCACTAGCAGACAAAATCTCCACATGTTCAAGTCCGATCTGTCTTTTCACCAACTCCAGATTCTCTTGAAGAACCTCGATTTCCCCAAATGGCAACCTCAAATCCAACGCCTGAACGCCAAGTGTTATCACCTCATCCTTCTTAAACCTCATGAACGGCATACAAAGCTTCTGTGTCTGCTTAAAGTTTCCCTCTTCGCCAATCACACTTTGCTGTAAGGCCTGAAGTATCTCTTGATCCGGTGCAAATTGACATTTTTGGACATCAAATTTGCTTCTAAGAATATTCAAACACTCTTTCTTCCAACCATCGTATTGTTCATTTACATATATAAGACCAATTGTTGGTTTGCTTTGGGGAGTTGTATTATTTTTTCCTTTCTTTGATCCACCAGAAGATTGCTTCACAAGCAGCTTCCGGAAATTTGAAATAGACTCCTGTAAGTATCTGTTAGCCATCTGAAGAGTCAAATCAGGGTTTTCAGCTTCAGGCCATCCAGCTTTAATAACAAACCCTTCTTTCTTCAAAAGCTTCTTCCACACATATTCAGAATAATGAGGACAAATAGGAGCAATAAGACGTGTCTGAACATCCATAAACCTCCACAAAAGATCCCTATTCATCCCATAAGACCCACAAGAAAACCTATACTCATCTCTAGCAGCTTGCAAATCATAAAACCCTGATTTTAAAGCTTCACGAAACATATATTCACCGTAATTTTTCTCCGTCGTTTTTACCGCAAAATTAATCTCATTAGCAAAAACCCGATCCGCGTAACAGGAACTCGGTCCCACGCGTAATGACGATTCCGCCCCCAACACCTCCTCCATCCACACCCGCTCTTTAGTCAACCGTAAAATCGCAGCATTCGCGGTTTCAAACACGAAATTGGCATCATCCATTCCGTCTCCCGCATCCGCGAGAGAAAATCTCGTCGCATCAGCTGAAAACTCCTCAATCGCTTGCTTTAAAGTTCGAAAATTCCCGGTTGATTTCGACATTTTTTCTGAATTCAACATGATGTGACCATTACATCTAAATCCTCGAGGCCAGTGGCGTTTTGGGAATATCGCGGTGTGGTTGTAAATCGCGAAGGTGAGATGGTTTTGGATAAGATCTTTACCGGATACACGAAGGTCGACCGGATACCAATATTCGAATTCCCGTTTCATCTTTCGAAGTAACGTCAACGGAATTGACGATTCCGGTTCTGGACCGGAAAGGAATAAGTAATCCCAAACCTCGTCGGTGAGTTGTTGGGGGTTTACAGATGAAGTATCGGATCCGAAAAGCTCTCCTTTTTGTAAGAAATGACATACGGTGTAATACGCCATGTAGATAGTGGAATCGGATAAAGATTCAACTAAAAACTCTTCATCCCATGGGATGCGGGTCCCGAGACCAAAGCTTCTAGAACACGCCCACTGGTTGAGCCAGCTCAGCGTGTGTTCGAACCCGTGTCTAGTTTCATCCGAATACAAATTCATCTCCTCTAAACATTCTTCAGCTAATTTTCGCCAGGTGGACTCGCCATAAGTCAAATACCATTGATCGGTCAAAGCGACAACACATTCATCACCGGATCTTGACATGACTTTTTTCTCGGGTTCACTGTAGACGACGGCTTGGTTGGCTTCTAGAAGTTTTGTGCGGATTAAGGTTTTGGCGTCTTGGACACGTAATCCGGAATGTTCTCCTGCAATCATTGTCCCTTCGTAGAAGCCGCCTTTGTAGATTACTTTTTTGGCTGCATCGAGTTTTTCACGTTCGTTTTGGGATTTTATTTTCATGTCTGTGCAGATTTTTTCAGCGGATTTGTCACCAAATTCAGGGTGGGAGATGATTGGGATGACTTCAAAAGGTAGGACCCATTCGTCTTTTATTCCGAATTTAGCCCTGAATGGAGCTTTTGATTTCAAATCCTGAGAAAATAACAAAATGTAAATATTTGAATAACCGATAATTCCATTTAATATGAAAGAAATATTACCTGTAAAGCCATGAAATCATCAGGGGAATCACTAGGAACACTGGTGACAATTCCAGTACCTTTATCAGTAAGAACTGATAACATAGGAAGACAATATATGATCTCATTAAATGAAAGTGGTGATTTTAAAGGTAACCCAATAAGATCTTGACCAGTCAACTCCACAAGACATGTATGCTTTTCTGGGACCCGCGATAAATGCTGATAAGCTAAATTACGAGCTGCACGTTCGGTTAAAATAAACACCTCAGAATCATTAATCTCAAAAGCTCCATATTTCCCATCTGGTAATACCCATGCATTTGTTTGACCATACATAGTCTCAGGTCTAAGGGTTGCAGCAGCTAAGTAGACTTTCTTTCCTTCTAGAAACCCGAATTTGGTGGGAAATGGTGGGACCACTTCCATTTTAATGAGGGTGTATTCTTGAGGGATTACACCTTCACCTGATGCACGATCATGATCTGCACATGGTTGTCCATCTAAAGGTGAGTAGATTGTGTACCTTAAGTCTTTAACAATCTTTCCCATTGATTTCAGTTTTCTCATTTGCCACCTCACGAAAGAATCAAAGTAAGGGTTGATGTCTGTGGTGATGAAAGATCTTCTCCAATCAGCACCAAGTCCAAAAGCTTTAAGATCTTCAACAGCCAATGGTGGAAAGAATCGAAGCCATTGAACAGGATCTTGAAATGTGGCAATTTCAGTGTCTGATAAACCATACCCACGCATTATCTCCCATTGATAAGTCTCTTTACCGGTTTTTGATGCTGCTTTTGACTTTTTGCCTTTGAATTTATCAGGTTGAGAGTTGTTATCTTCAGGTTTGACTTCTGGTTCGATGATTATCTCATCTGTTTCTGAAGGGAAAGAAGGTGGATTACCGAATCTTTCGATTTCCCTACGAAGTTTATCAGCTGAGGCTTTGATTGGCATTCCAGTACAATGGAAGCCAAAGGGTAAAAGGACATTAGCGCCCCTTAACCTGTGATATGCACCAGCGAATTCAAGCTTAGAGAGTGAAAATGCATGGCCTAGATGGAGATACCCGTTCATATATGGAAATGGGAATGTCCCAAAAAACTTATCCCCTTCTTTGGGAGGTTGCTCATTAGCTTCTGCATTGAAAACTTGACATTCATCCCACCATTTTCGGACTTCATGTTCCATTTCTAAAAGCTGGTCTCTTCTCTTGAAGCTTCTACCATCATTGGTGTCTGCCATCTCACAGCTAATTTGACAGAAACTGTAGACAGAAAGAACATGTTAGAAATATCTATAAAAAATGAATGATCAAAGAAAAGGAGAACAGATAAACAAACAATCAATCACAGAAAAAAGAGAACAGATAACCTATAGAATGACCTAGCAATGTCAAGACAAACTATATCCAGATCAACAATCAATCAACAGTTCATTAATGTTAGAGAGAAGTTAGGTGCTTAATCAGTGAAAGTCTTGACATAACTGAAATTGGCTCGTTATTTTGTATGGAGAAATTTGAAGACATGAGACATTGAAAGCTACTTTGTTGCATAAAAAGGCGAAAAAATTGCAGGAAATGCACAAGACAGAATGCCACTGATGGTAATTGAGATTAGGATATATTATCTCGCTTTTAAAGGAAAGCCAGCCACAACCACTATGCAAAATTAGACTTCACAGTTTAATCAAACTTGGCAGTATATAAACTGCAATAAAAGCTGAATGTTTTACAATAATAAACTTTCAAAAGATCAATTAGATTTGATATAACATAGAACCAGCTAACAAATTTGTAGTTTAAATCCTCAGTATAAAAGAGATCTAATGCAACCTCCTTCCGCAAGATGAAATTCCAATCTTTGACCAGCCAAATATGAAACTGTCCGTCTATTAATCAAATGCATCCGATAATCACAAAACAACGACTTTGATGTACAAACAAGATTTCGATATCATAAATCGAACCAATTTTAACTTCCGACATCGTGAAATGGGAGCATTGTTCTACAGCAACTTCAGTAAAAGAGTACAGAAGCTGGAAGTAAGAAAAATAAGGGTTTACCTCCGGTGTATAGTCGACGATTGAATGTTGCGGATAAGGCGAATTGGATGTAAGGAAAGAAGGCGTCTCAACGCCACACTTGTAACTAGGGTTTACTCGGACTTCGCTGCTTTTTTGTCTGTGTATGTGGGAAGCACATAGGGTTTTAGGCGGAAATTCTACAAAGCACCATCTAATTTTTTTATATGCTATTAAACTTTTTTCTTAATATTAATATTTATGGATATAGTTTAAAAAAATATAACCTCAAAATTTTATTTTATTTTTTCAAATATTACCTAATCTACCAAATGGTTTTTTATTCAACGGTATTAGGGTTATGTTTGGCAGACTAACTGAAAAGCTAGCTAATGGTTGAAAAGCTAATTGTTAAATAAAAAACTAGCTGATAGCTGAAAAGCTAGCTGATAAAAAATAACGTTTGGTAAAAACTGACTGAAAACTAGCTGAAATTACATAAAAGGACATATAAGAATATGTGTTTCTATAATTAATTAAGGGGTGTATTTGGAAAATTTTAAAAAAACTCCTAAAAAGCTAGTCTAAGTAGCTTTTCAAAAAGCTAGCTTATAAGTTAGCTTATAAGCTACTTTTTGGTTTACCAAACACAACAACATAAAAAAGCTCAAAAAATAAGCTAGCGTATAAGCTAGTTGTGGCGCGCCAAACACAACCTAGGTGTTGTCCTTCCTCTTTAAGATTGAAGGTTCAAGTCCTGTCGTGAAAATATATGAAATTTGGTGTTAGTTTAAGAGTATATTAGATTTACTTAGAGACTCTAAGATTCGAACTCACGGTTGTCCATTTTAATAAAGGCGACAAATAAAATAGTTTTAAAAAAAAAGTTAGGTTATTGGGTCATGTTGTCGATAATATCATTTAGATCCATTATAATTTTAATATCAAACATCTAAAATACCATCTAAAATAAATGTAATTTTAATAGCAAAAATCAAACTTAGTTTAAATTTATCATCTAAAATAAATATAATTTAAAAGGGATCTCCCATATAATTTGCCTTTTTTCCATGTTAGAGCATGTTTTTTTGACTTTAAATATTGTATTCCTATATAAATTGTTACGTTATGATGATTGTGTAACGTCCTATTCTGAATTGTTTCTCATTTGGAGGCGGGTGATGTATTTTGGATGACTTGGGTGTTCGGTTTGTGTTTTGGAGTCAAGTGGGTATTTCGGTAAAGTGTCAGTTCGAGTTTTATGGAAATTGGATTCTTGTTCGGGAAATTTTATGGCAGGTATTGTAACATCCCCAAAATCACGGCCAGAAAAGACCGATTTCGTTTATGTTGTTTAAAATAAAATCAGAGTATTCCTTTGATTAAAAGAGTTGCGGAATTTGTTCCCATAAAACATGATAAATACATTATCCAAGCATCTCCGAAGAGATGTATTTTATTCGTTTTAAAACATTTAGGATGTCCTGGTCAATACAGACACATAAGCATAAACCGAACTTACATTCATCTACACTAATGATATACATCTCTTTAATCTCTCAGTGTAATGTGACTTTGTATCGATACCTGTGATACAAAAATATTGAGTGGGTCAGTTTTGGAAAACCTGGTGAGTACATAGGGATTTCAATCCCACAATGTTATAATATATATATATATATATATATATATATATATATATATATATATATATAATTTAGAATTCACACAATATAGAATTTTCTCTCTATATATATAACCAACTCTTACCCCACCCCGTCAATCCTCTCAACGAGACTATCCATACCCTTGGACCTTAAATTTTAACTCTTACTCCCGGATCTAATCCATATTCTCGAGTCTATGATTGTGCCCATTCCATACTCCCGGATAAGGGACAATTGGTCTATGTCTAAATCCATACTCCCGGACTAATGACAAATTCTATGTCCTGTCCATACTCCTGGACTAAGGACAACTGACTATATCTTAATCCATACTCTCGGATTAATGACAACTGACTAAGTCTTAATCCATACTCTCGGATTAATGACAATTGACTAAGTCTTAATCCATACTCCCGGATTAATGACAGCTGACTAAGTCTTAATCCATACTCTCGGATTAATGACAGTTAACTAAGTCCAATCCATACTCTCGGACTAGGGACGAATAACTATGTCTAATCCATGCTTCCGGATCAATGACAAATTTTAAAGTTCTATTCTCCGTATATATCTCACTCGTACTCATAAAGAGATACTACCCCATAACCATTATAACAAATCTTAGGTTTACTCTTTAACCTAAGTTATCATAAACAATCAGGTATGTTCTTTAACACTTAATTCAGACATCATCATATAACTCACACAAAACATATATTTAATACATTCAAACAATACTTGTATTGAAATCATGTTCATGAAAGGAACTATGCACTCACTTGATAAGACGATGCTCGGACAGCACTACGACTCTTAAAGTGATATTCTTCGATGAAACCGAGATGTTTTCTCTAAAAACCGGGCTTCTCGCGGGCAGAATTTCGGCCCGAAAACTCTTTTTCTCGAGATCTTCGGGGATTCGGGCTCGCTTCGGGTGTCGGATGATATCGGGGCTTCGGGGGTACTTCAAGAGGGATAGATAGGGTATCGGGAGTGAGAGAGTGAAGGAATTAGCAACTATGGTCGTTGCCTTTCGGTTTCTATTTATATGGTCATTTTTCTGGATTCACGTCCTGAATCTCAAATATTCACGTCGTGAGTTCAGTAGTCATCAGGTGCGTCATCGCAACTTGGGTCTGTCAGGCTCCAGAAGACATTAATATTGAGTTCACATCGTGAACACTGTGTTCACATCGTGAACTCCGACACAGTGTCGGGGTTCACGCCCCGAACTTCAGAAATTCATATCTTTCGCATATGAGCTCCGTTTTCGACGTTCTTTATATCCACGCATAGGTGAGATTATGCTCTACACTCTCGTTTAGACTCCGTCGGCTAATTTTGACTTTAACTTTTATTATATTATTTTTAGTAGGCCAGGACAGGAAAACTACGTTAGGAATTCACAACTCCTTCATCTGACGTCCGTTTTCGTCTGTATTTTTACCGATGGACTACTATCGACGAGATCTTCGATTCTCGTTTAGATTGTTTCGGCTAGAAACCACTCGATCTCATATTCGAACTTTGGGCTGCATACCGCTAAGTCGAAACTTCGAAAAATCATAAATTCCTCATACGACGTTAGATTTAGACGTTCTTTTTATGTACGATCTCGGTTTAACGTATTCTATGACTTTCGTTTAGATCACTAAGGCTAAAAATCGCTCTATCGTAAATTCACTATTTACGTCACACAGTGTCGTACCGGTTCTGTCGCGAAACTTCGACAAGTCATAACTTCTTCGTTATAACTCGGATTTCGGCATTCTTTATATTTTCGGAAACCTTGCCACGACCACTACAACTTAGTTAAGATTATTCATTCTAAATAATCTTTTATCAAAAAGTCATTTTTGATGCTTATCGTCTCTAAATCGACTAGCCCGGACTTACGGGCGTTACAATTATCTCCCCCTTAGGATGATTACGTCCCGGAATCATCAACGAAAATAGGGCTTGTATAATGATTCCATACGTTATATTTTCATCCTAGGTAATAATCGTAACTTCTATGTTTCTTCGAATGAGTATCTAACTCTTTGACTTCTTTACCGTAGACGATGCTCAATCTTGCACCTGCCCTTCGTACTATGTTGGACTTTCAATCGTAACCTACGAGTTACAAAATAAATCCTTATTGAGGACTCCTTCTTCTTCTTAGGATAAGTACTTTCCTTTATCTATTGTAACAGATCGATGGGTCATGTTCTAATGACATTTCATCGGATGATGCAACGCCTAGACTCAAGTCTCTGAGAGTCATATTCCAGAATGGAATATACCTTCCTTCATATTCTAATGTGATGTAATCACATTTTAGCATGTAGCATTTCTAGCCACAAGCTTCATTAACAACGAGCGTGATGCTATTGATCGCCTTGATTTCAATCTTCTGACTTAAGTCAGATGTTACATCGAACTTGGTTCTCCAAACCACGTAACAAACTCATCGTAGTCGGACTCAATTTGATATGACCACTAGGGTCAGAATATCAATCATCTTCTTAGTCATTACCGAAACAATGGTAACGACATACTTGAATAAAAACGAAATCAATTACTAGCTTATTGGTAACCTTGTGACTTTCCCTGATCCAAGTGTGAGTCATGTGCTTCCAGTAGTATAGATCTCTACTACTATTCACACCTACTCATACTCGTCCCAAGTATTGTCTCGCAGTCAACCAAGTCACCATACAAAATCACACAATCTTCCAACACATCAGATAACAAAACTAGGGTTTATATTAATTCTTGAAACGATTACATAGAGGTTCAAGTTCACCCTATACTATGTCTCTAATAGGCTACACTTCCTGATACTAGCTATATCCTGATATGAAGTCGTCATCCTTGATTCCTCGCATTGTCATCTGCTTCGTCAAGGATCATTTGAAATGCTCTTGCCTTTGGCTTTGGCATCATATTTGGCTTTATAACCTCTTCCCTTCTTGGACAGTTTTGCTTGAAGTGTCCTTCTTCACCACACTTAAAGCAGGCTTCTCTTTTGTTTGTGCATTCGCTGGCGTAATGACCAGTCTTCCCGCATTTGAAGCAGGTCATTTCTTTAGAGCATCTCCCAACGTGCTTCCTCTTGCACTTATCACACCATTGTGCTTCTTCTTCGAACCAGATTTCAAAAACTTTCTCTTCTCATCGGACCCTAAGGATCCTTCAAATTTTATTTTCTTGCCAACTTCAACCTTGTTGGTGGCTCTTCCCTTGATCATATCTTCGACAGACTTGGCAGCCCAGATAGCTGCCTCTAGAGTAAGTGACTGACGCACTGGCACTGCATACTCCCATGGAAGTCCCTTTGCGTACCTGTCGATTTTTGTCAACTCGTCAGGGACAATACGCAAAGCAAACTCCATTTTATTTGTGAAGTTATTGGTGTATTCATCAATGGACATGTTGTCTTTCTTTAATGTCAGAAATTTGTTCTCTAACTCCAGCAGATTTTGGGCCGAGCAAAACTTGCGCGTGAATTGCACCAAGAACTCTGCCCAAGTCAGTT